GAGACTATATTTAAAAGAAGAAAAACTACCACAACAAGAGGACATAGTCTTAAATTAGAGGGACAAAGGTTTAAAAATAATATCAGGAAGTATTACTTTACTGAGAGGGTAGTGGATGCATGGAATAGCCTTCCAGCTGAAGTGGTAGAGGTTAACACAGTAAAGGAGTTTAAGCATGCGTGGGATAGGCATAAGGCTATCCTAACTATAAGATAAGACTAGGGACTAATGAAAGTATTTAGAAAATTGGGCAGACTAGATGGGCCGAATGGTTCTTATCTGCCGTCACATTCTATGTTTCTATGTTTCTATGTTTCTATGTTCTGAAGTGGCCCAGTCAGAGTCCTGACCTCAACCCGATTGAGATGCTGTGGCATGACCTCAAGAAAGAGATTCACACCAGACATCCCAAGAATATTGCTGAACTGAAACAGTTCTGTAAAGAGGAATGGTCAAGAATTACTCCTGACCGTTGTGCACGTCTGATCTGCAACTACAGGAAACATTTGGTTGAAGTTATTGCTGCCAAAGGAGGTTCAACCAGTTTTTAAATCCAAGGGTTCATATACTTTTTCCACCAGCACTGTGAATGTTTACATGGTGTGTTCAATAAAAACATGGCAACATTTCGGGGGGGGCGGAGCCTGGAGCTGAACCGGACCGGACGCCATCTCTCCCAGCTCCGTCGATCGCACTCACAATCTAGGCAATATCCTGGAGACTAGCCGCCATACGCCGGCGTAAGCAACAGCTACAACCTGGGGACACCACACCGAACCCCCAGATGCCCTTCCAGTACTCCCCGAGGCATTTAAAAGTAAGACGCAGGACCGGGGCCTACCACACACCCGCCAACCGCGACCTCGAGTTTCTCTGGGGCGGGGACCCCGCGGGAAACACAGCCGAGTGGTGGCCGACCCTGACATCACCTGCTAACACAGCAATGGGGCGTAGAAATCAGAAGGGTACCCCCAGCAACGCTCCAGAACAGAGGGACATAGGAGCTATGCTCCAACGGCACACCTCCACCAAGATGGCGGCCGCGGAAGGCCCGACCTCACCAGAGGCTCCCCACACAGAGGCATCTGCAACACTCCAGCTGCAGAACACAACAGAGAGCTCACAGCAACAGCCCACAGCATCAGCAGGTAATTCTGAACCTGCAACCAAACAGGACCTCCAAACCCTGTACACTATGCTACAGGACATTCAAAACCTCCTCACTGCAGACCTGCCTATCCTAAAATCATCCCTACATCAACTAACAGGCAGAATGGAGGCAACTGAAACAAATATTAAGGAGCTAAGCCAAGACACATCTGCCATGCAGGCATCTATACTCCAACTACAAGCAGCCCAACAGGCCCTTACACTACAAGTGGCAGCGCAGGAGGACAGGTACCGCCGCAACCACGTAAAAATAAGGGGCATCCCGGCCACGGTCCCCCAAGAGGAACTGCCACACTACGTCAGAAGGCTGCTGGCCTCAGTACTGCCACCGGCTACCGCTAAAAAAATAACCATAGCTGGGCTATATCGAATACCAACGTCTACCTTAACTACCGCCAAAACGCCCGGCGACGTCATACTCCGCTGCGCACTACCTCAAGACAAGGGGCAAATAATGGCAGCGGTAAGAAACAAGACTCCACTGCCCTTTGAAGACTTGCAACTGTCCTTCTACCAGGACTTATCAAAGGCCACACTACAATGGCGAAAATCTCTGAACCCTGTCACCACCCGACTGCGGGCAGCAGGAGTGCCCTACAGGTGGGGAACACCACGATCCCTCCTTGTCTCGTACAAGGGGTCCACGCAACGGCTAACTACGGGGACTGATATCCCAGCATTCCTTGCAGCGTTAGACATGCAAGAGGCAACAGTAGCACCAACGGACTCAAATCGCGCACACGGATGGGACCCATCCAGAGTGGTACCATTTGTGCCCAGAACTGTAGCCGATTGCCCACCTGATTCCTGACTGGCAGGGACATCTCCAGCCCGGTCCAAACCTAACGGAGGGACTCACTGATCCGGCAGCCCTAGGCTGCAAAGTTGCAAAGTTGTAGAGATGTACAGTTCTGCTTGTTCTTGTGTTATCACTTTTTTTTTTTTTTTTTTATACCGTATGTCTATGTCCCCTGCGGTAGACTCACCCATTAGAAGACACAATTTTCCGCCTGGGCCCACTGGGCAGAGAGACACCAGGCTCACTACACCCAAACACTCACGAAGCTGCGCCAGCTATGACCCTAGTCCGGTTGCATCTAGCCACACACGACCAATCATTGAAGCGCACACACCCCCCCCCTCCGCTACCCCCTTGGTCAGGGGCTATGCCTCTCTTTGAGAGGTCAACCATGCACAAACCATCTCCCCCCACCCCACCCAGGGGAGGAGGGCAAAGCTTACACCACCGACACTCGAGTGCAGATATTGCTTGATTTAACTAAGTTAGACATGTTATTAAACCTCTTGTGATCAAAACCTATGCTACTGTAACATGTTTTTGCTTACATCCTGTTCTGAGCGACATTATTTTAACACTATAAAATGTGCTGATAAGTTCATTGTTCCAATTGTTAAGTCTGAAAACATGCTCGGGGAATGCTATTGGGGCACCACGAGCTTGCTTGTTATATGCTCAAAGCACGATAAAAATAAAGAATTTAAAAAAAAAAAAAAATGGCAACATTTCATTCTTTGTGTGTTATTAAATATATAAAATAAAACGGTGCACACAAAAACCAGCAAGGTGAAAAACAGGCTCTAACACTTAAGTGAAGGAATCCCTTAACCTTCACAACACAGAACATGCAATGAAAAACAAAATATAAGTGGAGCTCTGATTTACCTGTATGAATGGTGGTATAATACAGATGGACAAAATCACTATTACAATAATCTGTAAGTAAGTAACAATAAAATCTAAGTGCAGACAGTAGTATCAATATAAATATATAAAAGTATGAATAGTAAATGGGTAACTCACAAACATAGAGCCAATAACACACTTGGCTCTAGTGGTAAATGCCTCTGGATCTTCTTAGGGGAGATCCACCACCCTCTTTTGATTGCCTCCTGATGTCCTCCACCTTAGATTCGAGTATGGATGGAATGGATAGAATGGCAAATTCCAAATGGTAGTGTAAACAAGAATTTATTATATTAAAAAATATTCAAATGAAAATAAATTGAAAGGAATATATGATAAAAGTACATAAAATAATCCCAAAACGCGTTTCGCCAATAAACTGGCTTCCTCAGTTGGTATAAAAGACCTTGCGTCCTCCTGTTCTTTTTATATATGCTTAATAGCAAAATAACCGGCATCTGCTACACCGGAAGAACGCTCTGTGGAACGCACGTAGAGCGGATTGGAACGCACATATGAACGTGCGTGCGGAAATCACGTGACATAGTTTCTCGTCGTCGTGGAACGCTAACATATGCGTTCCACCATCTTCAAACGTAATATCCGGCTGCTATGCTTCCTCTTTCTTCGTGGAACGCATTATATGCGTTCCACTGCCGGAGCTCTATTACTGATTGCAAAAGTCCCAAAAATTGAATGTCCATTAATTTTCAAATATATCAATAGAAGGGGAAAACATAAACACAATAATTAAATCACAAATAAATAACATAATAATCATGGGTATTAATATGTACATTAAAAACTATATAATATAGCCTTTAAAATGTAAATAACAATATCCAATCTCTGTGGTTGTGGGCAATGGCAAATACAAAAGTGAATAAAAATTTGAGTAAAAATTTAGGAGGGTGGAGAAAGACTCATTAAAAGTATGTATAATAAAGATTCATTTATACAGTACTATTAAGTAGAGGAAAATTGGTTATAAAAAGTGACATAATTCAAAATCCAAATTTAATCCATAAGGAACCATAGTATTAAAATTAAAAATAAGTCATTTCTTCTATCCCAATTTTTTTAATAAAATCTCCACCCCTCCAATTTTTTTTAACCAATTTAAGTGCACAAAACATAAGACCCTGTGGGTTTTGATGGTGGTATTGTTTAAAATGTTGTGAGACACTATGTGTGTCAACTCCTTTTTTGATGTTTCTCACATGTTCCGAAACTCTAACATGGAGGCACCTAATGGTCCTCCCTATATACATCTTGTTGCACGGACAAATTAATAAATAAATTATATTTTTAGAATAACATGTCAATTGGTCTCTTATTGTAAATTCTTTATTAGTAATTTCATTCGTATTTTTGATGTGTCTCTTTTTACTTATTGTTTCCCTACATGCAAAGCACGTTCCACACCCAAAAAAACCTTTACTTTTTGTCAAGAAGTTATCATTTTCATTCTGATGATTCTTTAAATTACTATTTACTAAAAAGTTCTTTATATTCTTGCATCCCCTATGCACTATTTTGGGTCTCTCTGGTAATATTTCTTTTAAAATTGGGTCGTCCTGTAATAAGTGCCAATACTTGTTAATGGCATATCGTACTTTCTTATTGTTTGCAGAAAAATTACAAATAAAAGGAATGTTGCATTTGTTATCTTCTATTCTTGTTTTTTTCTTTTTATATATTAGTAATTCTTTTCGCTCTAGTTTTGTTATTTCTTCTATGCCCTTTTGGAGATCTTCTTCTTTGTATCCTTTTTCTAAGAATTGATTTTTAATTGTCTGAGTTTGTCTTAGAAAATCTTCATTTTTAGTACAGTTTCTTTTTAACCTCATGAACTGGCTTTTGGGTGCATTCGTAAGCCACGGAGTATGGTGACAACTAGTGA